GCCTAGTCTGTTACTTATCTATTTACTTGGAGTTTAATGCCAATCAATTTTGCATGCCTCCAAACAACTACCGGAATCTCTCGATCCACTGCATAAGTAAACATTGAAAGAAAGAAAATACTATCATAATAAACACATTCTTACAAGGAGTGGTGTCACCGGCTATTCGTGCGTTGGTGTACAAGCAGGTCTGGTTCTGCTACCGATGTCCTAAAACAACCAGTTATCCTTTACCTTACATATATGTTACACGTGTTTGCAATAAAATGTACATGTTCATGGCAATTTGTCGCCTAAGATATCCCATCAGTTACGGCATAAATGTGAAGGCCGGCTGGCTAGTGGACTATTATTATGTGCCCTAGCTGTTATCAATGACAGTGACACTGATGCCACTCCACAGTACACGGGCAATTGTACCAATCCTGTAATACAAATGAATGTGTGATGTAAAATGTTAGAATAGTTGAATTTATGTTGAATGTAGATCACACTCTTGTTATTTATTGACTTTCAACATTATAAAATAGGATTGTACCATTATATGAACAGGCACAAAAACTTCATAAACAAAGATTCAAACATATCATCAATTACAACGTGCATATACACACTGTCTCAGTCTGCTACTGACACTATTAGTCTATGCCAGTAGGAAGAGAGTGAGTGAGTGAGAGAGAAAGAGAGAAAGAGAAAGAAAGAGAGAGACAACGAGGGAGAGTGAGTGTGAGCGAGGGGAAGAGAGAGCGATTTTGTTGTCTATGCCTACCAATGGCTACGTGTGCACGTTGACTTATGAGTATTTGGCAGATATAGCATATGTTCTGTAATGATGTGGCGATGCATAGCCGTAGTAAAGCAAAATAGGAATATACGGACAAGGGAAAATAGGGACGGGGGAACATAGAGTGGACTCCCTCCCAGGCGCCCGTCACCCCTAGCAGTCATATCCAACTCGGAGCTTTTTTGCCAAGTGGCCAATCAGAACAGCAATCAGGGGTGTGTCCCTCCACCCTAGGGGAGAGCATGTTTTCGCTTTAGGCGCCACGCTGGCGGCAAATACACTGTAATACGTGCAAAAATGCGTATCCGCGTCGCCTCGCGCATATGCTACTGGTCAAATGTTGAAACGTTTGCCGCCTCGCGGTCGATAACGTAACAGCTTTGAACATACATAGAGAGGTTGGTAGAAAGATGAAAAACGCCAACTTGACTGCATAGAATTGTCAGTGTAAACCCAGCTTGCTCCGCACGTATGCGACATCACTTCACGCTACATTCATGGAACAATCAGGGGGGGGGCGCTCATCATTCGACACCGCCGCTCTCCACAACGCACGTACATCGTACGTGCTACTGCTAGCAGCAAGTGCGACACACGCTGGCTATATGCAACACCCGCTGTTGATTACACATCTCCCCCTTCGTCTGTTGGACAGATATGCCAACCACTACGATTTCTTTGTATTTTATACGAATTTCTATTCCTTTTGCACCACTACGACCAGTTTGTATCAAACTACGAATTTCACTGTGATCGAAAAAAAAGCTTTTTTTGTCAATGTATTGTCATTATTGACCCTCAGAATGCAGGAAATTGCATCTCAGAATCAAAAATTTTTCCGTGGGGCATGCCGGTCCCCCCTAGCAAACTCGGGTCACTACGTGACATCGAACTACTAATTTGATGGCCAAAAACTACAGATTGCTTCAAATATGTGTTGGCATCTCTGGTTGTACCGCCTATACTATATTTAGATGCTATACCGTTCTCTCGGTGTGCGTGTATCAGGGCCACGAGTGCCTCTGACGTAATTTTGTTGGCTCCTACCGAAGGGCATGTCGGGATACTGAGCTCCTCATTTATCCACAATACACTTCAATGGGTCTAGAGTCTGAACGCATACAGTCTCTTTAAAGTAATTATTACGAGCGTTTTCCGGTGTTTTCACCACTTTCATGATACCTACCGTTATTGCTTGAGTAACAGCAATTGTATAGAGTAAGGATAAAATGTCTTAGAACCTTCATATTCACCAAAACATGCTCGTTATGAGGGATAAAAAGGGATCGTTATGAAAGTTGCCACGAGATGGCGCGTACGTTGGTAGCTGGAAGCTTCCATCGTACGTAAT